TTAGTCATAACATTGGCATTGTGCCATAATGATTGGTTCATTTCCCAATGCTGTTTCCATTTTGAAGATGCTGAAGTATCTATTTTGGCAATAATTTAACAAATACCCTATCCATCAGTTATGGAAAAAAACTGCTTGTATTGTAATAGCAATATATTACTTAATTCATATGCAACTTAGCCTATCACATGGAAAATATTATAAATCCATTCACCATGTGGCTGGTCTGGTGATAACATTATATTAAATTCCTAGATGAAGTAATTTATGTGATTGCTTTTCTATGTGAGGCCCATGAAAATTAGTGATAGTCGAACTTCATTGTTTGACTTGCTTATATTATAATTTATCAGAATCCCTATAGTGGTGGCTACATGTACTGTGTACATTAAAATTATACAGATCACAAGTGCTATAGATCAGAGTTCTTAATTAGTTTAAGCTGAATTAATTCATTTTCTTTCTAATTTAACTGTGCTTGCCTGTGTTCAGTTGGGAAATATTAAGACTTGGATCAAGTAAACCAGTTATTTAAAGCTAAATTGCATACAGAACTGAGCAAATATAGATGAGTAGGGTTTTAAAAGAATCAATTTGCAAAAAAAAAAATCCTCTGCATTATCAAATGATGTCTGTCTAGGACAGTGATGGGTAACTTTTTTGTTGCCGTATGCTGAATGTGCGCACATGCACCCATAATGCTATGCCCACATGACCCACATGCACCCCGCCCATGCATATGCATGTGACTCCCCATGTGACCCCACCCCCACATGTGCATGCATGACCTCGCATGTGTGCTCCACCTCCCTGCAAATGCATGCATGCCCCACATGCAACCCCTAAGCATGCGCAGGAGAGACCTGAAAACCAGTCCATAGTGGTTCATCATGTTTATTATAACCTTTGTTTCTACCATATTGTGTCCTGATCATAAGTTTTAAATATATTATTATATGGCTATATATGTTGGAATTATTAAGGCATTTATCAAAGTAGGCCACAACATACTACTTGATAAAATAGAAACATGTGGTTTAGATAGCATCACCACCAGATGGATTCATAACTGGCTGACCAACCATACTCAACATTCCATTGAGCAGTCTTCAATAGAACTGCATCAACATGGAGAGAAGTATGCAGTGGGGTATCCCAAGGCTCTGTTTTAGGCTCAAGTACTCTTCAACATCTTCATCAATGATTTGGAGGAGGGGATAGATGGGGAACTCATCAAATTTGCAGGTGACAACAAGCTGGCAGAAATAGCCAACACTCCATAAGATAGGCTTAAGATACAGAAGAATCTCTTGAACATTGGCCGCTAGCTAACAAAATGAAATTCAATGATGCAAAAAGTAAGGTTATACGTTTAGGCAAGAAAAATCAAATGCATATGTATAGTACAGGTGGTAGCAGGTGCAATAGTAGTAACTGTGAGAGGGAACTTGGAGTCCTAATGTCAATCACTTAAATATGAGTCAGCACTGTGGTACAGCTGCCAAAAAAAGCCAACACAGTTCTAGGCTGCATAAACAGAGGGATAGAATCAAGATCATGTGAAGTGTTAATATCACTTTATAATGCCTTGTTAAGACCACACTTGGGATACAACATCCAGTTTTGGTCACCACGATGTAAAAAAGATGTTGAGATTCTAGAAAGGGTGCAGCGAAGAGCAACAAAGGTGATTGAGGTGCTGGAAGCTAAAACATATAAAGAACGGTTGCTGGAATTTGGTATGTATAGTTTAATGAAAAGAAGAATTACAGGTGACATGATAGCAGTGTTCCAATATCTCAGGGGTTGCTACAAAGAAGAGGGAGTCAAGCTATTTTCCAAAGCACCCGAGGGCAGGACAAGAAGCAATGGATGGAAACCAATCAAGGAGAAAAGCAACCTAAAACTAAGGAGAAATTTCCTGACAGTTAGAACAATTAATCAGTGAAACAACTTGCCTCCAGAAGTTGTGAATGATCCAACACTGGAAGTTTTAAAAAAGAGATTGGACGACCATTTGTCTGAAATGATATAGGGTTTCCTGCTTGGGCAGAAAATTGGACTAAAAGATCTCCAAGATCCCTTCCAACTCTATTATTCTATTCTATTCTATTCTAAAATGATGCAAATGTGTAGAGTTAAACTAGTACAAATCTTGAAAAAGAATGATTAATATACTTATGAAGTGAAAGAATATGGATGGAAAAAACATGAATATGATATTATGCAAAATGAATGTGGAAGAAAAGTATAATGTGTACATAGAGGAAAAATATAATAAGAGCAAAGAATATTTAAGATGAAAAGCAACATGAACATTTAAAATATTTTAATGAAATCTTCAACAGAGTGAATGGAATTAAATATGAAATAGATGAAATTCTCAGAATGCAACTGAACTCAGGGAATCTTGAAAAAAATTGTATGGGAATTATGGCAATATTAAAATAAATGCTAGAAATGTTAATTTCAAAGAAAAAATAAAAAGTAAGTCATCACTGTTATAAGATGCAGGTACAGATAGAACATCTGGAAAAATGTTAAAATATAGATGTGATTTGTTTATGAAGTGGCTGGATGACTTGTTTTAACATGTGTGAAGACATCTGTGTTTAATGGTTGAAAGAATGCTGTTATTGTTCCTTTATACAAAAGGAAAAATAGAAGGGAAGCAAGAATGAATGCAACAAACTTTCTGTGTATGAAAGTGGATGGATTAGTTTAATAAGTATGTCTGGGAAAATGTGTAGAATTTAATTGAAATAATTGACAGTGAACAAAACTGGAGCAATGTAGTTTGGCTTTATGCCAGGCGGAGATATGCAGAGCAGATCTTTGCTCTTCAACAAGTCAATAAGAAAGATATCAATGTAAAAAAGAAAACTTATGTTGTTGATTAGGAGTATAGCAAAGTGTAGCAAGGTTTTTTTTTTGCACGGATAGAAGATATGGAATGTATAGTGAATAGTCCTGGTTAAAATAGATTTAGTTAGGCTTACTTTTATTTTCTCCTATCACTAATATTTAATTTCTTTTTAAATTACTCCTTACTATTTTCTGCAATGTTGCTTACACATTTGTGAAATGTGACCAAATTTCCAGCACCATGACTGTCATTCCTAACAAATCAATATACCATTGATATCTAAAAATTATTACTTTGAATTGTCTACAAATCCTTTCAATTTAGATTTTTGATGAATAGTTTAATTACTAATGACTATGTATTACATCTGAAAATGAATGAGGCCATACATAATGCATAGATTTCTGAAAAATTGTGTCGCTGTGAAAAATTGAACTGTTTTTCTGTGAAATTTGGAACTTTAAATGTTGAAAAGATAGTGAAGAATTTCTCATATATTCAATATATGTTTGTAGGGTTGCCATTTGAGTTCACTGTTTGGGACAATTGGTTGTAGGATTCCTGCTTCGAGGGGGGGTGGAGCTGCAGCCGGTGCAGCTGGAGCGTGTTTGCAGCAGTGCCTTCTGTTTTTATTTTATTTTATTAATTTTTAGTACTCCTACTNAGACAATGTGATTGTTTGGATTTGTTTTCTCATTTTGTCTCAATGTGCAGTTTACAAAAGGTTTAGGAAATGAAATTATGTATTTAAATTAACTTTCTAAACATCTATATAGTCTGTGTACAGGCTATATAGTTTAGTATAGAAACTAAGGTAAATTCTGTAGACCTTATCTAATTGATGGAGATTGCCAATCTAGCTTTGTAACATCAATCTTTTTGCAATCTTGAAAACAATCAATATTCATTTCTGTTGTCTTCAAGTTTGCTTATAAACCAATGGTACTTAATTCAAAAGAACATGAGAAAAACCCAGTGAATTCTTTAGAGCAAATTAACCAAAAAGAAACCAGTAACACAACTGACTATGGCCATGCATTGCATTATGAGCAATTAGTTGTCTAATTCTTCCTCATTTTAAATCCACATATGTTTGCTTGAAAGTCTTGTGTTATCATTTGCATTGTACATGTTCATCAAATTAGCTTTGGCATAGGATGCTATTGCATATTAACTTTCATTCTCAGTGTTATTATTTTCACTTGTTTTACATGATATTGGAAAAAGATAAAACACAAGGTACTGCATTTAGTTTAAGTCCAGCATATATTCTGTGGTAAAAAATCTAATATTCAAGAAGAATTTCTTTTATTGAACTTACCTCTTGTTGAAAAAAGAGCACATTATTTTTTCCCCTGAACAGCAGCTTTCAGTAATTCTTTGCATTTCAGTTTACATAAATCAATCAAACACCCAATGAAAAGTATATATTTTCCTTGTCCATGTTTTTTTCCCCTTTGAGTGTAGGGTAGTGATTTTACTGTGTGGTTCCAATCAATGGGATTCTAGGCTTTGCCATTAGCCTTTAGGCATATAAGAATTTTTACTTTAAAAGTTTTACATTTGATATATGGTGGCTGGAGTACAACAAACTGTCAAATTTCTTCCCCCTTGCTCTTTTTTATGATTTTTATTTTTGTTACTGGCATATCTGTGCATAATAATTTAATTATTAGAGGGAAACTCTTAATTGTAGAATCTGAAGTATATGACATGCAAAGTAACCATTGTTCTTTTAATATTGGTAAAAATATAGAGGATATTGTAATCAGACACTTTTACTTAGAACAGGATTATAGAAAACAATAGGAGATTTTAGGATTGGAGAAAGAAGGAGAATGCAATTTAGTTCATACTAAATCTAATGGGAAAGGTTTTGCATTTCTTTTTTCTATAAAGATGCATGGTGCTAGGATAATTTGATGTAACAATAATAAACCACTCTAAACTAATTGGTGATTTTTATTACATTTGTCATCGTTTTGTTAAAACAACTTCTTGAGAAGTTTAGAAATTTGTATTAAGTAGGTATCCATTAGAGGGCTCTCGAGGTTTTGAGTTTAGCAACCTTGATAGTGATAGTTCCAGAGCTTTGCTTGCTCACATTTCTTTGTTTTTCTTTTTTCTTTTACAGAAAAGGTCACGGATTGCCTACAGTGACGAGGTGCGGAATGAGCTCCTAGGGGATGATGGGAATTCCTCAGAGATCCAGGTAGGATGCTAATCAAGAAGCCCTAGTGGGTGGCTGGAGGGTGAAGGAGGTCATTGGCACACTGGGCTTCTCAAGCTGCTTCTTAACAGCATTAGTAACAACTCATGTGGAAGTGATACTGTTTAATGCAAAGCTGGGGTCTTAATCAACTTCAAAATGATTCTTGGAGATCTTACAATTTAACCCTTTACCTTGGATCCCTGTCTGCTATTTAAAAAAAATAAACAAAAAACCAAAATATTTTATTCTCTTTTCTTTATTATTTTGTACTTAAGCAGTACTTTGAAACACAGTGTTTGCCAACAAACCCAAACACATGTAAAAGGAATATAAAGTCACATAATACAGCTTTGATAAGAGGGAAATATAATTAAATCAACACTGGAAGGCAAAACAAATGAAAATGGGATTTCAGAATGTGACAGTTTCTTTTCCTCTCTCAGAGTAGTTCCTTCTTTGAATCAGATTCTTTTCTATGTACAAAGCTGAAATTATATCAAAACTATATAAGTGTAACTGGCTTAGTATAAAATGTTAGCATTTTTAAGAAATGTGAAAAATTTCTAAATGTTTTATTCTGAATCTCCAATATTTGCAAGTGTTCAGGATACTTTTTAAAGTTATTTTGTTTTCATGGGTATGCACTCTTCTTTTACCCAAAGATTAGTTTATAATCTTAAAGATCTTTTTTTTTTGCTTTAATACATTATACAATTTTTAGATAAAGTTTGGACAACTTCACACATAAGAAAGATAATGTACATTGGAGTAATGTGAATTGGTGAAGATAAAAGTATAATTATTTAATATTGTGAAAAGTTTGCACTGTTTGCCACTGTTCTACTTCTGTAATAACTTTGATCAAGATGCTTAGAATGTATTATTTGTTACTTTGTTTTACTTTGTTTCTCTAAAGTACATTAATAGAAGAGTTAAAGCAAATGTCTATAGTATTTGTTATGCATCAAAATAGAATATATATGTGATATAACTCAGACAAAAAAATCTAGTGAACCTTCAACTTTAAAACTGCCTAGAGTTGTTGGGAGTGGGCCAAAATATACATTTAATAATTTAATAAATAAAAATATGAAAATTTAGGTGGCTATGCCTTTATTTTATGCTCCATGATCTGTTAACATATATGCTAACATATATAGCTAATGTATTTCAGTAATAGTATTTTTTACACTTAGCTTGTTTTCTCTTTTCTTTTTAAACATCTGAAAGAAGACACATCTTTCAGAAAAGTTCTTAAAATATTTAGCAATTTTCGCAGAATTTATTTATTTTATTAAATTTATTGGTGACCTATCTTAGTAGAGGATAATTCTGCCAAAACATTGGTATTACTTTCAAATTTAAATTTTTCACATTGCTTTCATATAATGAACTTTGAAAGAAAATAAATACCAGTGTTTATAAAATTTATGCCATTGTTTGAAAGAACACATGCTTTAATTTATCTTTAAGAAGATATCAGTCTATCCTGTGGTGAAAACTATGTTTTTTATATTTTTAATGACTATCAACAATAAATTTAGATAGACATGTAAAAACAAAAGGAAAGATTGGTAGATAATGCCATGAAATTAACATAGAAAGCAAGTTTACAAAAAATATAATGATTTCATTGTCCAAAGTCAGTTAATATTCTATTTACATCGTCCTTTTGGTTGATTTCAAGTATACTATCCATCCATCCATCCATCCATCCATCCATTCATCCTTCGCTAAACTTGTGAAATTTATAATTATAACTTGAGCAAAGGTAAATAGATTTAATATACTTTGACAACAGTTAGTGAGAAAAATTTTCAGTAACTTTTTATACATTTGTCAGCTCCTCTGGGGTTGGATCTAGAAACTTCAGGAAATAATCTTTCAATATATAGAATTTCCTATTGAATGTTTCTGATTGATGAATGGGACTTCAATATAATTTATGCTGGATATTATAAAATTCTTCTGTTCTTGGTGTAATCATTTAAGTTTAAAACTAAAGAATAACTCTCATATTCAATTTATCAGGAGTAACATAAATCAATGCATAAATAATGGAAAAGCAAGTGTTCTATGAACATAAGCACAAACATTTAGTTCTGACTTACTAGCAGTATTAAAACCTACAGCCTATCTGTTAAGTAGGGAGCAAAGAAAGTGAGAACACTAGAACAAATCTAGTTTAGGCATTTCCAGAATTATCTGTAACGTATTATTATATTTTTTACATCAACACTATAGTAAATGCAAGTATAGATATTTGAGGGCATTGTTTTTCTATCCATGAAAAAAAAGTTAAATCTAATAAATATATAGAATATGTCTTCAAATAATTTGTAATAAATTATATGATTGGGAAAATATGGTTGGCAAAGTATTAGACATTCTAGATTACAGCATTTTGATCTTTGAGGAAAAAATAACAATCTTATTTGTACTAATAGCTTCATTAGAGATAATTATTGTGCTATATGTCTAGCTTAATTATTTTTTTACTTAACACTTTTATGCTCTGCGTATCTTCTATGGTACTATAGATAGTGAAGACTAACTTGACATACTACTTTATGTAAAAGCTGCTATTTTTTACATTGTATGTTAGTATTTAAAGTAGAAATTTGGATAAATTATACTGAGTTCAGTGAACTGTATATTTTTTGTTCTAAGTGTATCTTGTCTTTTGTTCCATTATAATCAAATGAAACACATTTTAAAATATGGAAATAGAATATTTAAGTGTTTTTGTTATTTTCTTCCCATAATAATATTAGTTATTTATTCAAAATTATATATATCTTCTTTCTCAGTGGGTTATATATCTTTGTGTAACAATGTTTAAGCAATACTTTGGAATGTCTTAAGTTAATCTGATTATATCACCAATTCTCTTGAAAGATTGAAATATAGCAGTGCAGAAAAATATAATACATTATCAGTTTATAGTCTTATTTAATATTTTATTTATTTGATAAGGACACTAATTACATAGTTAATAAATAGCATGCTAGATTGTTAACTTGTTTCCAAAGTATATGAAATTATAATTTCATTAATAAAATAATGGAAGTAGTATTTCCATATAGCAAGCCAGTTTGCTGTAGTGGTTAAGGCATCAGGGTAGAAACTGGGAAACTGTGACCTCTTCTCCCACCTAGGGCATAAAGCCAGGTAAGTTACCTTGTGCCGGTCACTTTTTCGCAGCTCTAGAAAATATGCAATGGCAAACCACATCTGAAAAAACTTGCCGAGAAAACTACAGGGACTTATACAGGTAGACTTTGAGAATTGGACACAATTGAATGGCAGAAAAAAATTTCTATATAACTAGACCTCTTAAGATTAGAGACATTTTTTAATAATTAGTTTACTAATTGCAGTGTAAGTGTGTAAGTTGATAAATACAGTACAACAAAGCAGCTCTTACCTAGAGGAAATATTTTGTGATTATATGGCTGCCTAATTTTTGATATCCTAATTCTGATAAAGACTTGGATTGCCTATGCATATAGTGTATCAAAACTCTAAAATTCTTCAGATAGGAAAAGAGAAATGGGTCAACTTAATTCCCCAAGATCTAAGGAAGGTCAGTATCACTTCATATAGTCTGACAGAGCAGATCATTACCAGTCACAAATCTGTTACATACCGAGAGTATATAGCAAAATAAATAGACTGTCTCATAAGTTCAGAAAATTGTGTGTTCGACCCATGATAATGTGTAAAGGGCGTTTAATAGAGTTCAGCATTTATTCGTTATCTGTATGTGGGCAGAGACGGCACTGCCGTTATCAGCTTCTTGGGAGGGAAATTCCGTGGTTCTCCATGTCACATGATCTGCCTCACAGACCCATGCACTCTCCGTGATGCAGTTTTGATTCTACTCAGAGGAGAAGGCTTAGTCACAAGAGATTCCACTGGTTCAAACCAGCGTAAACCAGATTTTTTTTTTGTCTACAAAGAAACAGATTACCGCTTGTATCAAGTGGAGGAGGGGAAGTAAAAGAGAAGAATCTTTGTTTCAAAAATATGCTGATTATTATAACCTGAAATTGTGTCTGCACACATATTTATGCTTTCTGATTAAGTTTGGCAGGGTTAGGATACTGCTTTTAAAAAGAGAAGTAGTAGCAAGTCATCAAGTGTCATAATTGTTAAATGAGGGAAAAATCTTTTGTTAATTTGAATGAATATCTTTCTGACATCATTTAAAAAAAGAAAACCACCCATTATTTAGCTTAGCTGTAAATCCTACGCAGAGCTTAAATTCAGCCATGCAGCACAAACAAGATAGAACTCTCTTTCGCTTTTTCTCTCTCTTTTTGACACCTATTGAAAAAACAAATGTGGAGCATTTTAAAACTTTCATTCACTATGGCAAAGTGTCATGCCCCAAATGGTTTCTATTGCAGAATAGTAGTTTTAAACTTTGCCCCTTAAACTATCATAGCCATTACATGAATGGTGACCTACAAAAGTGGATGGGGGCGAGCATAGTGATGCAGTAAACTTGCAAACCATCTTTTTGGGGAACTGAATGTTTATCTTTTGGGAGAAGCAAAGTGACGAAGAAGCAAGAGAGCGAACCAAAGAGTGATTGCAGAGTGCTTTTAATTTAAGAACAGGTGGGGCTGGATTAGAAAACATGCTTTTTCATTCATTTTTTCTCTTTAGAAAACTAGAGCTATTGAATGCAGCACTCTTCTTAAAAATTAAAATAATGTCTTCATTTTCATTTGCTTGGCATTATAAATGTTTAAATTCTAGATCAACAATGTGAGCATAAGGAATCATTTCAGTTATTTTTGTATATCTCTCTGTCTCTCTGTGTGTTTGTGGGTGCATGTGTGTATGTAGGAAAATGTTCTTCCTAAATTTACACCCTAATTCAAAATTATTTTTCATATGTATGAATACATTGGTAATGGCCGGTTGAAGAAGAAACCTTCTCAGTTATAAAATAACATATTCTCAATAAAGAAACTTTTTCCCTTCCATCATAACTAAAAATTTATGTCTGTGTTGCAAATAGACTGAGTGTATCTATACCTCAGCACAATTACAATAGTATTTAAAATACTATTTTAAATGAAGGTTATTATGCAGTATAGTTGACAAAATCAATTGAAGGGATTCACCTTTTGCTTAGTTAATTAGAATACAACTTTTGAAAGAGCAGAATAGTGAAATATAATAACTTTTTGAAGTAAATTCTCTTCAAAAGCATGAAGAATAGTGTAGTCAAAATGTCTACTAAAACAGTGTTCCTCAGTTATTTATATTATTTGAATACATAGTAATAATCTACAATATTAAATAGCGTAGACTAAGTAAATTTGGATTAAAAATAGTACAGTTTAAAATTGCACATAAGCTGGCATTTCTATAGCCATCAGTTATAGTTATTCTAGCTGATTTAGTAAGATAGATGTATAGAGAGACATAAAAAGGCAGAAGTCAGTACTAACAAAATAAAAAAAATGTAGAAATCTTGTATATACAAAATCACTTCAGCTGTACTATCTTAGAAGAGAGGAATAGTAAACTTGTTTTCTCCTTTTTGTATTATAGACTTCTATGAAGTCATTCCCCTTTATTTCATGATAGTGTCTTAGATGTGGTTTAAAAGAGAATTTCACACTATTCTCTTTGTTTAATGTGACAGTGTGCGAAAGTGATCTTTATTTGTTCAAAAAACTCTGCATGTAGTCTATGTTTAGGGTCTTTTAATGTGTTTGTCTGTGATTTTTAAATGCTAAACATGTAAACAGATAAATTGTCAATGTTAATTCTGTATCCTGTCACACAACTGATCTTTCTTTCCTGCCATTTCTTTCCTTTTTATCTTTTTCTGTGCATTCATGTTGCAGTTGATAAAATTACGTGAAGAGGTGAGTATTTTGTTGCCTAGCTTTTTCTTTAAAGCTAGCTTTTCATATCTGAATAAATCTTTTTGGTCACTTGCAGAGAAATCTGCAGAACGCATGCAATATATATCTATATATCTATATTTATCTATATCTATATCTCCTTAAAAATATTCTAGCACTATGTGACTCTTTTCTTTAATAATCATACATTTCATCAGAATCCCTAGGTCATACTTTTAAAATTACAATTCTTTAATAGCACTAAGAAAAAAGATAATTTAAAGTATCTGTAAAAGAAAACAAAAAATGCTAGTATTTGATATGTGTTTGAACACCATGTTGAAATCAGATCCTGTAATGATATCTGCACAACAGAAGGTACTGTAACAGTAGGGGGAAAAACCCTCTGCTTGAAAGGTACAAGGAATACCTCATTGTGTAGATCTACTGGCATACAAAACAATATGAAAATATTGCATGCACGTATACTGAACTGTAGATGTATGCTCAGTTGTGCTTCCTATATTTATTATTTATTTGTGCATATGCTGTAGTGAATGCAAATTAGAGTCCTTTTTCATTCTAGGAAATGACCAGAAGAGATAACAGTACTTCAAAAGTAATATCAATCATCAAATGATTATTTCTTGACATTTTCTAGAGTACTTTTCTTTTTTTAGATTTGTCCTTGGTTTTATTTTTTGCTTACACAATTCTCCCTCCCTCCCTCTCTCCCTCCCTCCCTCTCTCTCTCTCTCTCTCTCTCCCTCCGTGTGTGTGTGTGTGTGTGTGTGTGTGTGTATGAAGACAAAGAGTTTAAATAAAATTCTTATTCCTAGAATTTGGTATAGTAGAAGTTGCTAGGGAACCAGTTTTTTGAGATAGTGGCATAATAACATCTTTCAGTTCTTGGCAAAGAGAGACAGAACAACAAACTATGCTTGTTTATTCTTGTGGTATTTGGTGGATGACCTCTGTAATAAACTGCATGTTTTTCAAAAAGGTGAGACAGAGAGGGAATGATGCTTGTTCATTGAGAATAACCAAATACAAAAAAAAAAAAGATTTCCTTAATAAATCAAGATTTTTTTCATCAATCAAATAGTTTGAATTTCCTGCATCGATGTGAATTATAGATAGTAATTATCATTTTATCAATTTTTGAAAACTACTGTTATAAAAAGGCAACTGAGTAAACAGTTTCTTCAGCTCTATCCTTATTAATTAGCATCATCATCATATATGCTTATTTATACAGAATAATGTAATCAAAGTACAGACTTATACTAAAAATGTAGAATTCAGTTTTAATGGTAATAACAAGCACAAAGGAGAGTCAAATATAAAATAGAAAGGAAGGGAGGTGATGCTGATAGGAAAGCA